AGTGGCATTTTATAATGTAAGAGAATGTTATTGTACAAAGCCCTATGAGATGACTTTGTTGTAAATTGGTGCATTATTAACAAACTGAACAGAAAACTGAGTTGAATTTTAATTATTATTTTTTTTATACTTGCATAATAAAAAGTGACACAAACACAAATCTGAATTAAAACAGCTTTATTGTTTTACAAAATGTTTAAACCAAAAATAAAACAAGGGAAGTCACATTTGGTGGTGGCTGGTGGTTTATGAGGTTTTGTTTGTAAATGTTCCACTGAATGACGGTGCACTGGATTCACTACTGTAAATGTTCAAACTTGGATCCAGATGTACATCAAGGTGCTTTTTCAGATTGCATTTCTTAGTAAAACCTTTACCACAATTGATACAAATAAAAGGTTTTTCTCCTGTGTGTGTACGCTGATGCATATCAAGGGTGCATTTCTGAATAAAGCCCTTTCCACAAATAGGACACCGATACGGCTTTTCTCCAGTGTGTGTCCGCTGGTGTGTGTACAGGTGCCCTTTTTGGGCATAGCGCTTTCCACACAGTGTACATCTATATGGCTTTTCTCCTGTGTGGCTTCTCTGGTGAATTTCAAGCTGACTAAAGCATCTGAAACTCTTGCCGCACTGCATGCAGCCAAACTTCTTTGCAGCCGAGTTTCTAAAATTGTGAAGCTTCATATTTCTGAGCACATGAACACTTTGGGAGGCAACATTTTGAGCCACACTTTTCCCAACTTGGAGCGTTGTGTTTTCAGGTGGTAGTTGTGCATTCCAGAGCATTTTCCCTCTTACTGCTTCGTCAACTGACTGCTGGGTGCCCAGAGCCACAAATCTATTGGTGAACGGAGGTTGCCGAAGTTCTGCGATGGGTTTTGAATGGTGCATCACATTTGGACTCTTTTGAGTGTTTGTGACTGCTTCCCACCCTGTTGACAGCAGATTAATACAGAACAAGTCAAGCAATTATATGCTGCTTATATATTATATAATAATTATATA